AAACCCTAAAACCCTAAACCCGTGGCTGCGCCTCGGCCATTCGGTGCAGGATGCCTGCAAACTCTGCCACGACATGACACGAAGGTGGACCCAAGAATCAGGCACTTCGGTTTCGGGGTTTAGGTTTATGGTTTAGGGGTTTAGGGGTTTAGGGGTTTAGGGTTTAGGGTTTAGGTTTCGGATAGTGGTTATGTAGGTTACTATTTGAAAGTATATGTTTATTAGGTACATGGACCCTTAGGGTGAGGTTACCGCACTCTGGTCATGGACAGTAGTCGACTACGGCAAAAGCCGAAAAGTTGGAAACCCGATAGCCTCAATCCTTGAGAATAGGGAAACCCAGTACCAGAATTGTCCTTAATCCGGTTTCCAACTTGCTGGGATTTACTATCCTTGGGCAGTTGCCGTCCTTATCGACCCTAGTGTGACATGGACTCTGCTGCTGCGAGGGGTAATCCCTGAGTGCGCTCGGTCTCGGGTGTGGCGCACGTTGGAACCCTAAACTCCGAAAGCCCTAAACCCCCAAACCCTAAACCTCTTTGTTCCAAAAAACAGGCCTTACAAAGAACCACAGATCGCCTTGGGTTTACATGTCTTAGTTTGCTCAAGCATACTGGGTTGAACATTCAAAGTTCGTGAGTGGGAGCAGTCCTAAGTCCTAAGTGGGACTTGTCAAGTCCCTCTGCTGCAACTCAGCATGGTGTGGCACGAACCTTCGTCTTCTGTTCACGGCTGTTGTGTTGAACAGTGTTTGCGCGTAGACAACTAGACCCCACACCCAAAACCCTATTGTTGCTCAGAATCATAACTTGCTGCGCTGAGCCAGGGATGTCTCGGTCAGCGAAGTCTAACAACTGACATAGTAGACTGTTGGACTACAGAATACAGGGGCCTTCGTAATTAGAGTAGAGTTTGGGGGTGTGCAATATATATATATATATACACACACGTACAGACACTCCTACATATACATAGATGGGATATTAGGAATCCTTCTGTTGTGGGTAGAAGGATCTTGCAAGGGACTGCAAACTGCAAACATCGTTGTCGGACAACTGGCCGGGTCTTCCGACTTTATAATGTGAGGGCCTTAATAATTAGAATGGGGTTTTGGGGGGTTCCTTACTCTACTTATATCTTAACATTCCCCAAACCCTATGAACATTATTAAAGCCACTATATTACAGGGGTAAGCGGTATGTAAAGCAGACGCTGGCGTCTAAGTGCTTAGCCAGGCTGCAGAGTTTGGTTCAGTCTTCTTCTTGTTTTTTGTCTTGGCGTATCATTAACCCGGATTTGAACCCGTCCAACCTGCTCACTTCGATTCTCATGCAACCGTCATCATGGAACAGTCTGCTTGCCAGCAGAGCCTTGTGCCGTCTCAGGTTAAACCTCTTTCCGCCGCGGCATTTGCAGGGTTCTTTTTCCAGGGCGCGAGTGGTTTCGTGCATTGCTTGCGGTAGGACTGTTCGGGGTCCATTGGCACACATGCTGTTGTCCTGCGAGAAGTTCGCAGGAGTGCGTGGGGCACTGGTCTCGCTTGTGGGTTCAGAAGAAGGATCACTTTCCCGCATCCTGTGCTTGCAACCTGGACAACAAGGATTCGAAGAAGTCTTGGCCCTAGCGCAAGAGATCCAAAAGTTTGCTTTCAAGTACTGGCGAGAGCGCTCTCGTCCACTGAAGACGCTACTCCCGTGACCGCAAAAGAGGCCGAGTCGTGCCCTGCGCCTGCTCCTTGCAACTTTTTTGTAGGCTGGTTTTTGACTCAGATTGTTGAGGAACGGGGCCGGCTGCTTGCTTGCTTCCACCCAACATCTGGAGGTTGCTACTTCCCACGGTGTGGGCCAGGGAAACCATCAAACCATCAAACGTACCCCCGAAACCGTGTAGGCTAATCCACCAACCATGCGATGAAGCCTAAGCTCTACAGAAAATGGAACCCGGAATGCCCATGATATTGATACGGGCGATGCTGCAAGTAAAATGTATGTGTTGGACCAAGCCACCGGCTCCAGCTACCTAAATAATCGGTTATTGTTACTGGGCCTCCTATCTAATCATATGGCTACAAAGCCTATCATACCCTGTAAACCCCGAACTCCCTAAAACCCTGAACCCCAAACCCTAAACCCTAAACCCCAAACCCCAAACCCTAAACCCTTCAACCCTAAACCCCTGAACCCTAAACCCTAGGGCCAGTCACAAGCGAGCTTGACTTGTCGGGCCTTCGCGGGGCGTCATGCGTCTGCATTCGGCAGCAGACCTGCGCGTCCATGGAGCAGTGGCTTAGCCTGGGGAAGAGGCTACGATGGGCGCCTTACTGATTGGAAGGGTGCTTTGAGGCGTACTATACTACAATCATATAATAAGGAACCTTGAGGAATAGTATTGATACTTTTTTTGGGCTTCTATATTACATTGCAGGAATAGAGTGGCACTGGCAGGGCCAACTGAAGTTCGAGCCATGCATTCTGACGGGCTCTGTGCAGAAACCCCGCCTGGTCCCACGCAGCCACTGGGCAAGCCTGCCAGCAAGGCCAGCTGAACTGTCTGAGTCCGAGCCGAGGACTCATCACGCTGGACTTAGGAACCTAGCTAGAGCAAGGAAAGTCCAAACCCTAAAAAACCCTAAATAAGCCGAAACCCCTATAAGCCCTAAGCCCGTTAAGCCCTAAGCCCTAAACTCCAGAATAGTCCATGTACCAAAACGGGAAGGGCATCCTCACGTGTTTTTTTCTATCTTTCGGCCCCTAAACCGTAAATCCCTAAGCCCTAAATCCTAAATCCCTAAGCCCTAAACCCTAAACCCTAAACCCTAAATCCCTAAGTCCTAAACCCTAAATCCTAAACCCTAAACCCTAAACCCTAAACCCTAAACCCTAAAACCCTAAACCCTAAATCCCTAAACCCTAAAGCGAGCCCCGGCCTGAAGACTGCACCGTTGCCTAGTCGAGTCGAATAGAGCCCCAAGGGCCCAAAAGACCCCAAGATTCAGGTATTTAGGGTTTAGGGTTTAGGGTTTAGGGTTTAGTTTTTAGGGGTTTAGGGTTTAGGGTTTAGTTTTTAGGAGTTTAGGGTTTAGGCGGGTTTAGGGTTTGAGAAGCCCCAAGAGTCCAAAAGACCCAATAATCAGGTACTTAGGTGCCGGATAGTAGTTCTGTAGGTTAGGTTTAGGGTTTAGGGTTTAGGGTTTAGGGTTTAGGGTTTAGGGGTTTCAGGTACTTAGGTTTCGGATAGTAGTTATGTAGGTTACTATTTTGGGGAGTATATGATCTTTAGGTACCTGGACCCTTAGGGGAGGATCATCAGAACAGAGCTCTGGAGCAATTTATACCTTTTAAGTGTAGTATAATATCAGGAGCCGCAAAATAATCTGAGTCAGTGTTTGGGCCCTTATGTTATCTGGGCTGTGGCAAGCCGCTACGGAGCTTGGGGGCATTTGTGCTTGCGACAGAGGTCAGTATCTCATTACAGGTCTACTCTTGCAAACTCAGCCGAACATCGACGACATGGACATCCGAAAATGTTTTCCAAGCCGCAACCCTATCAACCCTAAACCCTACCTGGACCCTAAAGAACCTACATTTTTAGGGTTCCTTGTTATGATCTCCTTATATAAGTCTTGAAAAAGGGTAGGTCTCTTGGGCCAAAAATAAACCCTAAAACCCTACGGGCTCTTGGAAACCTCGACTCCAGATTTCTCTAGGCACCCTGCAGTTTCAAGCGCTGTGGGGTTGGCCTACTGTAGGGCCTTAATAATTAGAATCGGGTTTCGGGGGTTCCTTATGATAGTTTTAGTATAATATACCCCAGAACCCTAATCTAATTATTATTATTATTATTATTATTATTACATTATTATTACTATTATTATTAAGGCCCCTAGATTACACTTCTTTACATCCTAGAGCTGCTCAAACCCCGAACCCGAATCGCCAAGACCCTAAACCCTGAGCCCTAGCCCCGAATTATCACAACCGGAATCGGTTTAGGGTTTAGGGTTTAGGGTTTAGGGTATCCACTCTGCACTGCCAGCCTGGGCCAGGCATCAATGCCCGCCTGCACTGGAGGTCACATTGTCGCTACAAGTATCCTCTGGTTTAGGATTTGAGGGAGTCTAAATCCCAAGGCACAGTACTACATGTATACGTGTGCCCTAAAGTTATAAACTGGCGTTGGAATAGTCCGGGCTTGCGAAACCAAATGAAGCCTAACTGGCCAAACTATGCCAGGATCCTGACGTGGCAGGCTCTACTTCATTCAAGGGCACCGAAAAGTAGGAACTAAGATCCCTGCACAATCGCGTCAACTTAGATGGAAGGATGGGCAAACATCTTAATTGTTAAGCATGCTTGTATTGCTTTGGAACATCTCCGGCTCTGAAACACCCAGAGGGTCCATGTACCCAAATAATTAGTAGATACTTTGGCCCCAAAGTACCCATATAGGGACTACTTTAAGGCCAAAGTATCAACTATTTACTATTTGGGTACATGGACCCTTAGGGACAGCCTTTCAACATCAACACGTCACTTCGCTTATCATGCGCATGCATACGCTGCGAGTACATCAAGAGAGCGTGATACGACACTGTGGCCGCGCATCGATCGCTCAGAAAAAGAGAGGGCAGAGAAAAACAGAGAGACTCACTCAAGCACACATACACAGCCACACACACACACACACACACACTCACTCACACGCCCAAACACATGAACGCTCCCAGACAAACCACAAAAAAACACAGTAAACCGCAAGCCCTCCAACAGGACTTTGTGATGCTTCTGTCCCCTTGATTCGAGGCATGGCTCTGGCTCAGGGATTTTGGATTAGGGATTAGGGTTTAGGGTTTGGGGCGTAGGGTTTAGGGGATTGATAGGTTTTGGGGTTCAGGATTTCAGGTTTAGGACTCAAGCAGGAGGCGTGAACCTTGAACCAAGAACCCCAAGAGCCCAGGCTTCGTTTGGGGTCTCGGGGTAGTGGGAGATTAAGCGACGTAGGGTGGTGAGCTGATAGGGCAAGGCATGTCAGGTATTGCGCTTGAGAGTAAGTACGATGATTTGAGGGGGTTGGGTTTTCACACCCTCGCAGGCGCACCTTGGCATGAGGCGAATCGCTGGAGGCTACTGCCAGCAACCTCATCTTGGCAGCTTGGCAATTACACCAACGAGGCTTGAAGGTCTAGGATTCAGGAAAAAGGCCCCGATATCCTAACACCAGAAACGGCTTCCTCAATCTATCGGGTAGCCCAAGCTCTCTGAGGAGATCCCACAGTGCCAGACGAGAAGATTGCTCTAATTGAAACCAACCACTGTCTGTTCCGAGGGGTGCATGCGACTAGGCTCCGGACCTACTGGCAGAAGTCACCCTGCGCCCTATCCATACCCTCCAAGTTCACTCCCTGGTATTCGTTCACCAGCGAACCCATAGGGTCCATGTACCCAAATACAGCGCCGCTCTGATTGAGAAAACACTGGCTAAGAAAACCAGTGCTCTGGATTTTCCAGATATATGCATTCTCCCTCCCCTTTCAACTAAGAAAATGAGTGCCCTCTGACGTTCGGACCCTAGTTTCTTAACTGTGTGCTTTTCCGGGGCTCTGTTTTTCTGGTTGAGGGAAATGAGGACTGATTTCTTCAAGTAGTGGCAAACATGTATCTTCTAAGGATTGCCATCCCCCAGGTCCAGATCCATCCGCAAACAAGGTTAAGAAAATGAGTACTCATTTTCTTAATCCTCTTGTTGGCTGGA